TCATACTAAATCCCAAACACATTATACCAGCTACTAGGAAGACAAATAACTCTATCCCAGCTGAAGCCAGGACAGATGGGCTTAGGGAAAGGATGGAGGTTATATCAGTATATGGTGAAAGATAGTCTTGTAGCTGAGAGGTTGAGTTGACCTGTGAAGATGAAGACATATTTCCCTGCCGTGCTAGAGGTTTCAAGTGCAAACTGAGACAAATCAATGTAAAATACCATTGACTTCAGTCTGCTAAGTTAGAAGGACTAGTTCTGGAAAAAGGATTTAAGCATTTTAAGCATGAGCAGCCAGCTACATTGCTCCTATTTCACCTATTTGTACCTATTCTGAGGGCTCTCATCCATCCTTTTTCCCTTGAAACCTCATCTTAACCTGCTGCTGAGACACTTTCCCTTCCTTTTTGCAGGGGTGTTAAGGTACTGGGAAAAAGGCCCTAAGAAGCAGGATGTTTTCAAAATAGAAACCTTAGTGCTGAACTCCGAGGCACAGATCAATAGTTGTCAAAAACTCAGCTTACTGCCATATTTTGCTAGTATTTTCCCTCTGCGCACGTTTTCACAAAGTTCCAGAAAGTGTCAAAAGGAGGATAAAGTACTAAGCAAATCTCGTTTTAGTTCTTTTACCTCATTCCCCTATCTGCTCCAATGCTCTTCTAGGGAATAAGCTAAGTGATACTATCCTGGACTTTTCTGAAACCAACCTCAAAGAAAGGATTGCAGGTCTGGCACAAGGAAATGTTTGTAATGCTGTTAGTGATTACTTCTTATGAGCTTGTTCCCTGGAACAGGTGACTCAGACCTTGCGTTGGCTGTAGTTTTGGGACAAGACATGAATTCTAATTTCTTGTGAGGTAACCTGAATTCATGAACATGAGAAGACTCTGTCTGGCAGGGAAATACACACACACTCACACTCAGGTGCTAGTCTTCCAGAAGTCAGCAAGTCCTTTAACTGTCTTCACACAGGCTTTGTGCCCCACGAAGCCCATCAGGGAAGGCTTCCTTTCTCTGTAAACCATTTTGCCTTTCTCTGAGGTTTTGGAGTTACTTTTTCTGTGTTGGATGCAGTGAGTGTGTATCAGCTAACTCAACTTAT